AAAAAATTTCGAAAAGATGGATGAACGAGAAACAGAACTACAAGACCAAGGTGTGCGGAAAGCACCCTGCCGGGGCCCTGCTGCCATCCAGAGACAGCTACGTGGACCACAGGCCTTTGATCCGTGACAAATGTGGGCGGTGGGACCACTGCGCCCTTTCAGATGGAGGGATGGGACCACGGGCCATCGGGAAGGCCTTCTCGCGGTTCCGAAGGTGGAAGGCCTGGGTCTGCCTGGTAAGTATTTGGGGGAGCCAGCTGCAAGCTGCAGCAAATACGGACTGCTCTTTTAAGAGGTGACTCGGGACCACAGGACGGCTGACCAACTGGTCCCTGGAGACAGGGGAAATGGTTGAAGCCACCCCTAGCTGAACAGGTGAGGCGATTCTAATTTTCCCAGAAGTCGTCTCAACGGCAGTAAAAAAATTTCACGAGGAAGAATAAAATGAGCCGTTCTCTTTGGAAATCTGCCTCAGGACCAGGGAGATAATCAGGACCAGGACCAGGATGATACTCTCTTTAATATTTTTCTTTTTTATGTTTATTTACTTTTGAAGGAGAGAGAGACAGAGTGTGAGATGGGGCGGTGGGGAGGGGGGCAGAGAGAGAAGGAGACACAGAATCCGAAGCAGGCTCCAGGCTCCGAGCCGTCAGCCCAGAGCCCGACGCGGGGCTCGAACCCACAGACCGCGAGATCGTGACCTGAGCCGAAGTCAGACGCTCAACCGACTGAGCCACCCGGGAGCCCCAGGATGATACTCTCTTTAGAACACAGGCCTAGAAAGGCTGTCCTGAATCCTCAAACTCTCCGGCATAAATATCCAGAGTGCAGAGAAGCGGTTCCTTCGAGGTTACCACCCCCCATGAACTATTCCAGAAAAACGAGTCTTTCTTGACCACACGGGGGCGGCACTATCGAGTTTCCCCTCAGGCCCGGCCAAGCCGCGTTTGGCACCCCGGGTGGTGTCGCACACGCACACCCCGAACTGGTGCCCACACGTGCTCCCCCTTCCATGGAAAGACCTCCTGGCGAGGCAGGGCTTAAATTGGACCCTGAAGCCGAGGTCAGACCTTGAGAGGGGCTCCGTGCTCCTTTTAAGGACGGAGTCATCACAGGCAGGCCCTGCCCTCCTGTTCCCTGAAAGCGAACGGCGACGATAAAAGGAGCATCGTCCTTGGGTATTGCAGCAAGTGAAGCAGAAAAACCAAAACCGAGCCTTACGTCCACGCTTGTGAAATACAAGCTGTGAAAACCATTTTTTTCCACTTTGTATTTGACTGCTGTTGTTTCTGCCACGATCCTCGTTGCGGAGGTAAATAGAGCCTAACGGCGAACGAGGAAAAAACACGTCCGTGGCCCCCAGCCTCGGTATTCTGGCCACGTTCCGACTAAAGTTCACAAGGGATCTACTTTCTCCTCGCGTCTCTGAAGGTGGGCCTCTGGAGGACTCCAAAGCGCACCTCCCTTTGCAATTCTCCCGCATGTGCCCGGGAAGGGGGACACAGGCCAGAGTGTACCAGGCAGCAGCCAGAGGCACAGGGAAAGCCTTAAGAGCCGCGTCAGGCTTCAGATGAGACACAAACGGGATGGGGGGTGATGGGCACGGGAAGATGGGACCAACCTCAAGGCTGGCTGGTGGTGCATTCTTGCCACATAACCAACAAGACCCCCAGAATCCTGCAAGAGGCTCACGGCCACTTTCCCTGCGCCTAATTGTCGCTTTGGAAGAAGGGGGCAGAAATCAGTTATTCATGTGACCTCTAAGAGATCGTTCTACACTGCAAGTTGACAACACAGCAATCAGGGGCGGCTCAGTCGGTTAGGCGTCCAACTTTGGCTCAGGTCATGATCTCGCTGTGAGTTCGAGCCCCGTGCCAGGCTCTGTGCTGACAGCTCGGAGCCTGGAACCTGCTTCGGATTCTGTGTCTCTCTCTCTCTCGCTCTTTCTCAAAGATAAATAAACATAAACAAACAAACAAACACAGAAATCACCTTCTTTGAACATGTCCAAAAATAAAAACTGTAAGGGACAACTAGGAAGGAGGGACCTATGCGTGAAGACAGAATTAGCGACAGGCCAGCCAAATGCTTTGGGACAATCTTGGTTGGATGTTGATTCAAACAAAACATCCATCAAAACAAAACCAAAACTGTAAGACAAAATTTGAACACACTGGCTATTGGGTAATATTATGGCATTACTGTTAAATTTTGTAGATACGATGATGGTATAGGAATTCTAACAAAGAGCCCTTATTGTTTAGAGACACACACGGAAACGTTTACAGGTGAAACGACACGTCTGGGGTTTGCTTCCCCAACAATCCAGAAGTTCGAGAAGGAGTCGTGGGTGAAACAAGACTGGCCGTGTGTTAGTAATTGTTAAAGACACAAGACAGACGCATTATACTATTATTTGAAAAATGACTTCCCAGGAATGGCAGCCTTGCCCAGGTGGGGCCCAAGCAGCCCCCACTCCCAGCCTCCGCTCCTTCATTCCAGCACACCATGTTCCTTCACGCACACGGTTCCCCCTCTTCCTCAGGGCACCCGTTCCCCGGAGTAGGAGGGCCAGGGCCAGAGCACCTGGGCTCAAATTCAGGACCTGCCATTTACGACCCTGAGCAAGTCAGTTAACCTCTCTGTGCCTTTGCTACCTCATACACAAATGCTAGATAATAACGTACCCACCGGTACACTGATAACCTACTTAGAACAGTTTCTAGAACGCGGTAAGTGCTTAGTAAAGTGGCTGCCATTAGCGTGTAGGTGCTATTGTTCTCTGACTTGCAAAATGCCACTGGTTTTTCAGGGCCCAGCTCACACACCACACCCTGAGACACTGTTCCCGTCACTGGGCTCCGTGTGCCCTTCCGTACCCCCTCGGCACTTTAACCCTCAGCTCTCGCGTGCCTCCCAGAGATGTGTTAGAAAGTCCCCGTCTGGCCGAGCTTTCCCACCAGCTGGCAAGCTCCCAGCGAAGGACCAGGTTGGACTTGACTCTGGGGTCCTGGGCTGAACTGAAGGTACACCTTCGACACGGGGTACACATTCCACAAATGCTGCGTGAACATAGGACTCATTTACACCCCGATAGAAAAGGACATTCTAGCTGGAGGTCATCTCCTGCCTCAGTGATCAGCCAATCAAGAGGAATTCCCGTCGTCAAAAAATGGAAACACAGGGGCGCCTGGGTGGCGCAGTCGGTTAAGCGTCCGACTTCAGCCAGGTCACGATCTCGCGGTCCGTGAGTTCGAGCCCCGCGTCAGGCTCTGGGCTGACGGCTCGGAGCCTGGAGCCTGTTTCCGATTCTGTGTCTCCCTCTCTCTCTGCCCCTCCCCCGTTCATGCTCTGTCTCTCTCTGTCCCAAAAATAAATAAACGTTGAAAAAAAAAAAAATTAAAAAAAAAAAAATGGAAACACACATCTAGATTTTCATCTTTCAGCTTCTCAGACAAAATCCCTCTGTTGATCCCAAGTCACTAAAACAAGATTCCTTTCATTATAAATTGGGGGGGGGGGGCGGTTATAAATTAGGAGCTAAAGCCATTGCTTCCCCCAAGATATTCCACAGCTTCCGTTTTATAGGTCACTAAAAAGCGCGGAGCCCAGGCCCCCGGAGGGCTGTAGGCCCACCTTGTCCCGCGCAGCCATCAGGGTTAATTGCAGGAAACCTACACAGTGTTAAGTGTGCAAGCTGAGAGCATAAAGTTATTTTAAAAGAAGAAAGCGTCGGTTATTACCGACCGGCCCTCGTAACCCACCTCCGATGGCTTTCTGGCGAGCAATTAACAAAGCCCCCACTTCCTCTGCACTCGCCACCTGAGGAGCCAAAGCTGTTAGGGGCTGGCGGTGAATGAACTCAAAGATTCTTGTCCCCACATTTCAAGACACAGAACCTCCTTGATTTACTGCCCTGGCAATTCCTTTACAGTCACTAAGTGGTGGAATTCAGCCCAAGCCGCGGCTGCCGCCAGATCAAACGCTGGCCAAGTCACTGGCACAGTCTTACCGGCACGTTTCATCCTGAGTGGCCTCGACGAGCAAATTAAATCCGAGACGGAAGGACTCCGTGAGCTCCTTTGGTAGAGTGAATTTCCCGGGATTACTCTTGTTCTCGAGAACTAGTTATAATAAGCCCCTCCTGCCTAGAGAGACAGAGTTGGCCAGAACCTTCTCTCTCTCTCTCTCTCTCTCTCTCTCTCTCTGGTCACCATCCCAGAGCTGTGTCTGTCTGTCCAGCCCACATTCACCTGCCTTGGTTCAGCACTTACCCACAGTCACTGTCTCCTCGTGGCAGGAACTATTCGTCTTCTGCGGGTCAATCCTTGCTCTCCCCTCTTCCCCTCCTCCCCTCTCGGGTCCTTTGCATAGTTCCTCAGTCCTAAAATGTGCTCAATAAATACCCACTGGCGTGCATTTACCTACGCAGCTTTTTGGGGGGGGGGGTGTATCGAGCATGAAATTTAAGTGTTCTACAGCGCGAAGACTCTTCCTGACGCTACGTCTGGACCAGATCATTACCAGCCCTTCTGCCTGCCTGATGCTCTTCCACGGGAGACACCGGACCAGGTGAAGGGGCCAGGGCACGTGCAGGAATCGCTCCCCACCTTCTGGAGAAGGCTACGAATGTTCCGCAAGCGGGGAACACATACTCAGCCCTGTTCTCCCACCGCCTCAGGTCTGATGCCCTCTGAAAGCATCGAGCACAAGGCCCGTATCCTATTCTTGACACAGGCAGGCGCTTAGAAAAGGCTTGATGAACATACGCACAAGACAGTACTAAATGATGGGCTTTCTATAGGAGGTCAGCCACATCTCAGGATAAATCTCATTTACGTTCCACTTCACACGGAAAGAGCCTACTGAAAAACAAACGGGGCGGTAGGATGCACTGATCAAGAGCCCCCAAAGGCGGCCTGTCCCCCACCCCCCATGGCCTCTCTTGTCCCTGTCCCCCATGCGATGGAGCCACAGGGAAGGGCAAAGAAAGGACTTACCAAGAAGAGCGTTGTGCCCATTGTCATCCGGCAAGAACCTTTTGTCCACGGCACACACCAGGAGATGGTCTGGCAGGCTGGGGGACTTGGCCCCCACGAGGAGAAAGCCCGCAGGGACGTCTATGGGCTCACTGGAAATGGAGACGAGACGCAGGTCCTTCCCCGCCTGGCAGAACCCTGGGAGGAACGGACGAGACTCACACATGCTGCCCAGGGGCCTCCCCAGACCCGGGCTCCACGTGGGCAAAGGGAGGACAGCGTTCCAGGTCTTGTCGGGAACAAAGCTCACCTCTGGATGTGGCTGACTTTCAAACTAGTTCTAAGAGGTAAGATTAGGACCCTACTTACTGAGGCCACTCACCACACGCTAATTATTTTTATGATGATGGTGTCACCATATGATACACGTTGACATACAGATGAAACTCACCAGGAAAAAGTGTAGGCACGTGATGCTCAATTAGAATGTACACGAGATAAATCCATAAGAGATTGTGAGCAATTTGATATTCTTTACGCCCGGTGTTCCTTACACGTATGAGGAAAAGACAAATGTCACAAATAGGGAGCAGGAGCCTGGTAACACTGGCCATCTCTGGGGATGGGACACAAGGACACTGACCATCAAGGAGGCCTTCACTCCATACCCTTTTGGACATTCTGTATCTTAGAGCTTTTAAGTAGATTTCCCATTCAAAAAATAAGTGTCCAGGGGCGCCTGGGTGGCTCAGTCAGTTAAGCGTCCGACTCTCGATTTCGGCTCAGGTCATGATTTCACGGTTCATGAGTTCGAGCCCCGCATCAGGCTCTACACTGACAGTGCGGAGCCTGCTTGGGATTCTCTCTCTTTCTCTCTGCGTCTCTCCCGCCCACACTTGCTCTCTCAAAATAAATTCCTAAAAACTTTTTTAAAAAATTTAAGAAATACATGTCCCGAGGCATCTGGAAATAGAGAGAAACAGCTGAGACTTATTTGGACAGGCCCTTCCCAAGGTCTTTGGGCACATCCAGCCCCATCCCGTGTCCGTTCCATCCTTAGTTACCGACGGAGGCGGTGACAGCTAACATGGCCTGATGGTCCCAAGGCTCCCCCTGCAAAACCCTACAGTACCGTCAATGGACTCCTCCCGCAGGCACCTGCTTTGCCATCGACAACACCGTGCCCCCGGCGGGAGGGCCACAAAGGGGCCCTGAGGGGTGGGGAGGCCAGAAGGCACAGAGCCAGTGCCCACGGTGGGCCAGGCCCTGGGCCGGGATAAGCTCTGCAAAGCTGTCACTTGATCACCTGTGGGGAAGTGTTCCAGCTGCCAGTCTGAAGACACGGAAATCGAGGCTCCAAAGAGGTTATGTGATTTGCTCAGAGCCACAGAGAGGAAGGCCAGGGTGGAGGCAGGTCCGACCCAGCTCGGGATGGCTCCCCTCCATCGTCTTAGGGAAGCAGGCCTTCCACCTACGCGGCCTGGGCCCAGCCTTCTGAAGAGCTGAAGGAGGGGTGCCTGGGGGGGCTCAGTCGGTTGAGCGTCTGACTTCGGCTCAGGTCATGATCTCGCGGTCTGTGAGTTCGAGCCCCGCGTCAGGCTCCGTGCTGGCAGCTCGGAGCCTGGAGCCTGCTTCGGATTCTGTGTCTTCCTCTCTCTCTGCCCCTCCCCCATGCGCTCTCTCTCTCTCTCAAAAGTGAATAAACAATAAAAAAAAATATTTTTTAAATGAAGAACTGGAGGAAGACGGGCTATGGACACCATTACTGCGTTTACTTGGAAATTCTTTGAAAATCACCGTGATGACCACTGGAGAGCTCGCTGTTTTGTTTCATTAGGTGGACACGAGAAGGCCCCCTCATGAAGGGCCACTGTGCTGGTGTCCCTCACCCCAGAGCAGCAGCCCCAGCGAGGGCTGCCTGCCTCCCCCGCCGCCATCCTGCACAAGGTCACGTCCAGCCCCACACACGGGGCCTCTACACCCCACATGATCCCCGCACCAAGCCCTGCCCAGCCACACCTCAGACTCCTACCTAAACTGCTGGCGGCTCCCCACATGGGCTCCACGCTCCCCATTCTGAGCCTCTGCCCATGCCGTTCTTCTGTCTGGAATGTCCCAGCTTCCCCCAACCCTCTCACAGACTCCTGCCAATCCTCCAAACCCCAGACGATGGGCCACCTCCTCCAGGAAGCCTTCCCTAAACTCTCGACCTGTGTCAGCAACCTTTCGTGGGCTCCCAGGCACCCCTGGTCGCCCACCCCACCCTGCTGGCACTTCCCACATCGTGGACGAAGCGTCTGCTTACCTAACTAGCTCCAATATCCGAGAGTATCTTTTATCTCCAAACTTCCAGAGTTGGGAGGGGCAATATAATTAATTCACTCACTAAACCATTCGCCTGGTGTGGTGACAGATGAACATACGCCACTCAGACAGGCTGTTGGGCTAGGGAGTGGGAGAGCCAGGGGTTTGCTCCCAGGGTCTCCGCATGCAGAGTGCGAGCTCTTACGACCAGATGAAGCATCTGGCATCCCTGTGCCTCGGTCCCTCAACAGCGCGACGGGAGCGAGTCACCGACCCTACGGGGTTCCTGAGAGACCACAGGTCTGTCTTTTTCAACCATAAAGTGTGATAAAGGAGAAAGATGGTTCCCGCGTATTGGTCTGAGCTAAACGTGCAGCGCCAGCCGACCCGAATTGAGAGGCACGTTCTAGTTTTCAAACAGCCAACGTAGCAAAATGAACTGTTGGACCCAAACCCGTTGGTGAAGTTGAGGCGTCCAGAGAGCGCTGAGGGGTGAGAGCCTGACGGCCACGGTGAGGTGCAGCCAACGCTGCTGGGTGGGGGAGGGTACGCCCGCTGTCACCTGCCAGGGGCCAGGGTCACGCACTCTGCGGGCTCACCGTCTGTGGTGCAGCAGCCTTCGGGCGGAGGGTGCATCTGGTAGGGATTCGGGGGACCGCTGGGCTCCAGCGCCCCTTCCCCCTCTTCTTCCTCGTCCTCATTGTCCCCTCGGCCTCCACCTAGAAGGGGCAAAGGGGAGCGAGGCGTCAGGCAGAAGCAGCTAGTCCGCAAGTCTCGGCCACCGAACAGCCAGCCCGTCCCGACAGACACACCCCAAGGTCGGGCGTCATCCCCCGTCTTTGCTGGAGGGGCCAGCTGAGGTCAGGGGACTCTCCCCAGGTCACAGACTCAGGCTCCAAGCCTGGCCTCGCGACCTCGAATCCGGGTTCACCTGTCTCCCCATCCACGAGAGCTGCGCCTGTCTGCACACGCACAGGGGTCAACACGCAGTAACTGGTGGAGAAGAACGGTGCACGAAGCCTGGTACCTGGTAGGCACTCCAAAAATATTTCTGTGGGAGGTACCACAGATTAAGATCTAGACCATTTTGCAGGTGGGCACACTGAGGCCTAGAGAGGCCCAGTGATCGGCCTGCCGCACTTCAGAGACCCGATAAGCAGCACAGCTGGCCCGTTCCCAGCTGTGTCTGCTGCCCGCACCGATGTTCTAGCAACTGACTGCACCGGTTAGTTAAGAACAGAAACCGTGGCATGAATCGCCTCTACACGATACGAACGGTACCTTTTTATTCATCCCCAAGGGAAAAGGGGACGCAGAGGCATTTCTGAAAACACGCACCCAAATTTGTCACATACACGCAAGGCACCATTCCAGAACAGGGCCAGGCAGGTTATGACTTCAGGAAAGTTTCTTTTTTTGTTGTTGTTTTCTTCTTTTATTTTTTTTTTATTTTTTTTTTAACGTTTTATTTATTTTTGAGACAGGGAGAGACAGAGCATGAACAGGGGAGGGTCAGAGAGAGGGAGACACAGGAATCTGAAACAGGCTCCAGGCTCCGAGCTGTCAGCACAGAGCCCGATGCGGGGCTCGAACTCACGGACTGCGAGATCGTGACCTGAGCCGAAGTCGGCCGCTTAACCAACTGAGCCACCCAGGCGTCCCAGTTGTTTTTTTTTTTTCCAAGTGAAATAGCATTTTAGGAGTCACGGAAAACACGAAACTGGCCAGGAGAGCTAGCAATGGGCCATGGGAATCTCACCGTGGGCACTCTACCTGGGCAATGGAACAGCTTATTGTCATTCCCCAGATTCTCAGCTCCTAGATGGTGGGGTCCTTGCCCTTCTCCGTCTCGGTACTCCGGGCACCCCATAAAATGCTCATGCAGAGAAGCACCCAGAAAACACCTGTCCAGCCGATGCGAGCACGCCGTCTTTACCCAGCTCGGCTAGAGAAGGGGGGGTCATGTTCGTGAATTTCCAAGGCTACGCAAGAATAGTCCTGACTTTTTTAACAGAAATTTGGGGTTAAAAATCTTTCTCAACTTGTCCACGTTTAAATGTCATTTAACAAACAGCATGAACATGTCTTCGTGGGACAGGGTCACTCCCAGCATTCTTAAATAGGCCGGGCTGGGAGACCATTGTTTCTTCTTTTTTATTTCTCTGTCTCCTGTTTTCTCCATTTCTCCAACCTCCTCTTCCTTGGCTCTCACACCCTCCGTCCACCCGGTGGTTCTAGTTTAATGACGAAGTCATGTGCCGTGGAGAGAGGCAGAGCTGGGAACTGCGGATCCAAGTTCTAGTACTTGGGCCTTCCATGGTCTGTGTGGCCACAGGAAAGTGACTTAACCTCTCTGTGCATTAGATCCTGCAACTTTTCGGAGCACCTGGGTGGCTCAGTCGGTTAAGCGTCCGACTTCGGCTCAGGTCACGATCTCACGGTCCGTGAGTTCGAGCCCCGCGTCGGGCTCTGGGCTGACCGCTCGGAGCCTGGAGCCTGCTTCCGATTCTGTGTCTCCCTCTCTCTCTGCCCCTCCCCCGTTCATGCTCTGTCTCTCTCTGTCTCAAAAATAAATAAATGTTAAAAAAAAAAATTAAAAAAAAAGATCCTGCAACTTTTCTATTTTTTTCTAATATTTATTTTTGAAAGAAAGAGAGAGAAAGCAAGAGTGAGCAGGGGAGGAGCAGAGTGAGAGGGGCAGTGTGGCACCCGACACAGGGCTCGAACCCATGAACCTTGAGATGATGGCCTGAGCTGAAATCGAGGGCCTGATGCTCAACCACCTGAGCCACCCAGGAGCCCTCAGATCCCGCATCTTTAAAAGGAGGTGTTTACATAAGGGCACTTTGAGCTGTTGTAGTCTATGCAGGGGGGAAACGCAGCCCTCAGAGTTGCACAGAATATTCCTGATGTGACTGAATCAGCACAGGGTACTGGGAACATATCTTCATGGTGGCCACCATTTTAAAAGGCGCCCGTGGGACAAGAGGCGGAAGAAAGTGAACACCGTAAGCCAGCCTGGGCCCGTGACCTTGGGTAGGTCAGAGCAGGAAGTGAAGATTCCTGGGGTCTCTGTCTTTCTGGGCCTGGAGTACACAGAGGCGGCAGGAAGACTGTAAAAAGATTACCCAGGAAGAGCACAAGGGGGGTGGGGATAAACTCCGGAGCCTCCTTCAGATGCTTCCTTCCTGCCATTAAATGCAGGTCTGGAATGGCTTTAGCAGGAGGGACAGAGTCCCGCCCAGACCACAGGCGCCCGCAATGCAGCACAGGACCCCGTGGGGGCTGGGACTGTCCTGTAACCACCAGAGGAGAGGGAGTCACAGAAGGCTCTCCTGCACAATCACGTCTGCTCTTTGAGCCAGTACCCCCCGGGAAGGGGGGGGGGGCTCCTGGAGGGGACGGCCAAGACACCAACCAAGCGAGTGAAAAGGGGCGAGAAAGTCGGAGCCACTGGAGCGCTCGGGCACCCAGGAATGTCTGTGTGCACATTATTCTGCTAAGCCAAAAAGAACAGGAATTCAGACTCTCAGAAAGAATGAAAGAAGGGCATCTTAAGCCTCCGAGAGTCAAAGAAAGAGCTCAAAATCCAGCAGATAAGAAAGCTGCCCTCAAGGGTCAAAGGTCTATAGCAGACATCCCAGGGCCTTTGATGGGATCAGTCGGGCAGCAGCGAGGGCAAGGAAGCTTGTAGCCAGGAGCAGACCAGACCAGACTGCTGGCCAAGGTCTCCCGGCAGGAGGAGGGAGGGAGGAGGGCATTCACACGGCCTCAGACAGACAAAACCAACAGGATGGGGACCTTAGGACCTTCACGCTGGAAACACTGGAATCCAGAAATGCCACTGCACCACCTTCACTCTGCAGAGCATGGGGGTTGTTATTCACTGTAATGTTCCCACCTCATTGCATCTTTGTGTGGCAAGAAGCCGTAGGACATTTTGAGAGGGGGGGACCCCAAGAATTACCTGCATCTTGTTTAACAAATTAATACTTACCTCAAAATGCTGGTATCTGTTCTGTTTGCTCTCTCTCTAAAAACAGCAAATAACACGTAATAAAAGGGTTTTCCCCTGGGAGGAAGTGGTAAGACCTCTACACCGGGGAACAAAGTCACAAAGGCCCCTGCTGCATCACCTTCACAAATACAGAAAACGTTAACAGATCGAGGGCTGTTTAGTATACCGGCACCCTGGTCATAAAAACCATCTTTAATGTAATTGTCTGAGGAAGGACAGTAATAAGAGACCCAGGGGGAGAGACAGACACACAGACGATAAATAAAACAAGGTGTCGCCAGCACAGGCCGTCTACGCCAGGTTTTATGATGCAGAAACCAGGGGCAGAGCTGTGTGCTCAGTTTATTGTGACACCCAGCAAACTAAAAAGAGTGTCCTCCCCTTCCCACCAGCTCCCCTCCCCCCCCCCCCCCCCACTCCCAGGCCTAGATTTCTCTATTCTGTTTTCGGGACAAACAGGGAAAGCTGGAGGGTCTGCTCTGGTTTTCATTCAACATTTGGGCTGAACAAGCAAGCCCCACTACAGCGACCCCAGCCCTCAACACGGGAGGCCAGGAGGCGCATAAAGGCTCAGCGGAGTCTCTGCTGTCCCATGCCAGGTGCCCTATCAGCAGGGGAGGACATCCTAAGAGGCAAGTCATCCGAGATGCAGCCTCCCAGGTGTGAGATCTGGGGGCATAGGAAAAGCTGCCTGGGGGAACACCTCTGTCTCTCCCCAGGTGACATCTCCACCCCCTCCCCGTCCCACCCAACCCCTATCCTGCCCCCTCTTCATCAAAAGAGCTGCCAGAGTTAAGGACTCAGCATGGCATGAGGGCTCTCCTTCAACACTGCAGGCGACCCCAGCACCATCTTTAAAACCTTAGGTGGGATTTTACTAATCACACGTTCAGGCAGTGATTGGAGGTGACGGCAGCTTTAGATTTCAGGATGCCAGGCAAACTGGTTGTCGTGACCATCATCAATTTATCATTAGCAGCGCGGCCGCTGATATGGAGGCGTTAAGGATGACCGTTGAGCGTGTGTATGCCTCTGAGTCTTTAGTGACCAAAAACACGGCGGGACCCTCAGTGAGTTCTCATCTCCCCACCGTGTTGCAGCCGCGCCTCCCCTCCGGAGGAACATGCTGCACGCAGACAGTGTACCGTTCGGTTGGTGCTTTGACTGACCCAGTTCGCAGACCCTCTCTCAGGTCCTTACTGTTGCTATTTGCAGTTAATGTTGTAGATCATTCAAAGATTTGACCCAGGGAGGCTGTGGCCAGAATAGACTATCGGGCACTACACACAACAACTCTGTGCCTCATTTTTCCCCTCCATTAACCCTCTGGTCAAGCCATCCACACCCTGTCAACACACACACACACACACACACACCGCACGCAGCACCTTTACTTTGCACACTGATACTGACCCACTTTTGCGTCGTGACCACCCCAATCAGGGGACCTGGCGGGCTGCGTGCTTTCTTAATTGTCCATTTTGTTTGCCAAACAACAGTCCTTTTCGGTATCTAGTTGAGTCTTCAAGCAGAAGGCATGGAGCAGTAAAGAGGACTTCGTAAATGTAAGGTCTCTATGATTGCCGTGGGGTTGCTTCTGCCATGCAAAACACATAGCTATTAAAAGATACAAATCAAAGATTGAGAAACAGAACCATTTTATTCTCGGATAAATAAAGTAAACCTAAAATTTGTCCCATGCCTGAGTATGGTTATGCATTTATTATTTCTGGCACACGTTCCATTCATGGGGTGTGTTTTTCCTGGCTTTTCGAGAGTTTCTGGGGCTCTGGCATCTGCAAAAAAACACTTACCCAGGCAAGGTTTACCCGAGAATCTGACCATTATCCCGAACAGAGAAAAAAAAAAGACCACTGAGGGGAGACTGGCGCATGGTAAAATTTCTCACTTATCAAGTGACTTTCTGATGTTAGCCTAGTAACAACTCCGGGGATGCCCCTTCCCGCCCTCTTCCTCCCTCCCTTAGCGATGAATAATTTGATTCTTCAACCATAACTTTGCGGCTGAAACTTTATCTGTCTGGTTGGTTGTTTCAGCCATCCAAGTGTATGCGCAACTTTTCCCAACAGGTCTTTTCCGCCAGACTCAACATTTTGCACCTGGAAGCGTTTCCAGCTCTGCCGCAACAGAAGCTGCACGCTGGAGACGGGCAGGCATCTCCTACCTTCCCAGCGTGGGGAGGCTGCTGTTTCGGCTTCCTGGAGATACACAACTGGGAGAAGACGGCCTGGGCACCAGGCTGGACCACAGCAAGCACCTCAGTGGGTTATTACCTCTTCAACCGCGTCGTCTTCAGCTGGCCGGCGGCGGTTTCCCATCTTTAGAGAGAAGGACGTGGAGGCAGAACCTCTCTGACTTATCGGTTTA